TTGTAGTTGTCACTGTTGTTTGGCAGGCCCGGGCCGGGTTCGAACCCTCCAGCTTCGGTGTATGTGGCCGGAGCCCGACTCACTGAACTACGGGGATCGAGCCTGCCCATATTATTTTTTTTAAAAAATACCCTTTAAGTAACACTACCTTCTCCAATTTTTAAAATCTGTGTTTTTACCCCCACTTTACTACCCTGTCTTCACGCATTTGGGGGCTTTTCTGAGATCTTTGTTCGATTCACTATCCATCTGGTGGGAAGTTTTTAAAGCAATTATTAAGAAACCACAAGTTTAAGACAACCGCGGCTTTCTCAGAAACCAAAGTGTACAGATGGCAGTGGCATTTGGAGACACCTATTCTGGATCAATGACGTGGCATCAGGGATTAAATAATACTTATCTTACCTTTGCTCAGATTTCAGAAACCTGTTAAGTATGCCTGTGTATTATCAGATATCATATTGGGGGGCAGGCACTTACTGGTGACATGCGTATTTCTGATGACTGTAATTGATCAGAATATGAAGTGTAAGTGCTGTGGATTTTTTTAAAAAACTTAATTCTGGCTGGACTCATGGCTCATGCCTGTAATCCTATCACTTTGGGAGACAGGCCAGAGGATTACATGTGCTCGGGAGTTGGAGACCAGCCTGAGCAAGAATGATTAAAACTACCCAGGTTTGGTGTATCTCTTTGTTGTGGCCAGTAAGTGTAGCGTGTTGACTCTGTTTTGGGATTTTAAAGCCTCAAGAGACCTAGTTTTTTTACTCTCAGTAGACTTTTAGTAGAGTAAATGTTTTTTGTTGTGATCCTTTTCAGGCTGTCCACTGACATTAATTTATAAATGCAAAAGTACTGCTGCAGGGTTTATAAAGGCTAGGGAATATTATTGATAAATATATCATCATTAACATTTCCATAGCAAGTAGTGCTTAAAATGTTTTTCCGCTATGAGATCACAGTGTCTGCTGTTATTTAATGCTAGTATTCAACACTCAGCATCTCCAAAGAGCCTGGTTACTTTTCATCATATGCACTTAAGCATTATCATAGATTACTCATTTGTTTTCTTTCTTAGCTTTTCCATAGTGTAAGCTTTATCCTACCAAGACTGAACATTTGTTTACGTGTTTTTATGCAAACATATGCTTTCTTTTCTCCTGGAAGTAGAATTGCGGGATGAAAGGCTAACTCTGTATTTAACTTTTTGAGGAACTGCCTGTCTGTTTTTTGAAGGGGATATACCATTATATATTCCCATCAGGAGTGTATGAGAGTTTTATATACAAAAGTTTTGGCAAGAGTGTAGAGAAACTCTTATATATATAAAAGTTTTTACATATATACATATAAAAACTTGCTCTGTTGCTCAGGCTAGAGTGCCGTGGCACAATCATAGTTTACTGCATCCTTGAACTTCTGGGTTCAAGTGATTCTCCCCCTGGCATCTTCTAGTAGCCAGGACTTTAGGCACACACTACCATGCATGGCTAATTTTCTTTCTCCAGCTTAATATGGGGCTACATATGATTAGGTTATGTAAATTGCTTTTGTAATGTTAAAGTATAGTTGTTTCCTTAACCCAGGAAGAGTGCCATATACCTGTGTAGTATACCCATGGAGTGGGAACTTATTCAACTCCTTCCCCCCATTTGAATTTAGTTTTTCTCTCATGTGAGCATGTAGTTGTTAATCCATTAGTTTCAAATTGGCACTGAGTACATGTGATGCTTATTTTTCCATTTTTGTGATACATTGCTTATGAGACTATTATCCAGACCCATACAGGTTGTTAACAAAAGATGCAAAAATATCTATTTTTTTATAGTTAAATAGTATTGCACTATATACACATACCGCAATTTATTAATACATTCTTGTGTTAAAGGGCAGTTGGGTTGTTTCCGCATCTTTGTAATTGTGAATTGTCATGCCTGGATAATTAAAAACATTTTTTTTTTTTTTTGGAAACAGAATCTACTATCTTGCCCTCTGTAGAGTACCATGGTGTCACAGCAACCTCAAACTCTTGGGCTTAAGTGATTCTCTTGCCTCAGCCTCCCAAGTAACTGGGACTACAGGCACCTGCTACAACTCCTGGCTGTTTTTTTTGCTGCAGTTGTCATTGTTGGTTAGCCGGCCCAGGCCGGGCTCAAACCTGCCAGCCTTGGTGCATGTGGCTGGCGTCCTGACCACTGTACTACAGGCACTGAACCTAAAAACAATTTATTTTTTTTTGGTAGAGACAGCATATTTATGTACTGCTCAGGCTGGTCCTAAACTTCTGGGCCCAAGTGATACTGTCTTGGTCTTCCAAAGTGCTGGAGTTACAGACATGAACCACAGTGCCTGGCCTAATGTTTGCTTTTAACATGTATATAATTTCTTAGTTATTTCCTTGCCCTAACTTTCTAACTCCCTAATTATTCAGTAGTTAGATTAATGAACATTACCACTGTAGAAATAAAGGCGCAAAGGAATCCTATGTGTTTATCACTTAGCTTCGTCATTTACCGAGTCATGGCTCCCACCCCTTAGATTATTTTATCTATAAATTAATGATGTACTTTCTGAGACAGATTTACTTTTGTAACTATTTTATATTGGAGTAAACCCTGCTCTAATTGACTGTGCTTTAGAGGTAGTTAATTTTTTGGGAAAAGAGGAATCAATAACTAAAATTTGTCTTTTATTTTGTTACGCAGAAGTCCAGATCTTATGTAAAATGGATGTTTCTCACACTACATACTGAACATTAAGTAGAAAATCCATTAGTAAAATCTAAGTTGCCATGGAAGAAATACCAGTAAAAGTTGCTGTAAGAATTAGACCTCTACTTTGCAAAGAAGTTCTTCATAATCATCAAGTTTGTGTGAGAGTTGTCCCAAACACCCAGCAAGTTATCATCGGAAGAGATAGAGTTTTTACTTTTGATTTTGTTTTTGGCAAAAATTCCTCTCAAGATGAAGTTTATAATACATGTATAAAACCCCTAGTATTGTCAGTCATTGAGGGCTATAATGCAACTGTTTTTGCCTATGGACAAACTGGATCTGGAAAGACGTACACCATTGGAGGAGGCCATGTTGGTAAGATTACTTTCTGACTTTTTGTTGAGCACTAGAAAGAAACTAAAACAGGATAATATGTGACACATAGTATGTGTGTAGGATATTGGTTGAATAATTAAAGAATGAATAGTATGATCAAATTTGATCATAAGAACACCTTTGAAAGATTTGTTCTTAAATATTAACATTTCATTAAGAAATCTAGTTAATATTTGCTTGAGCAAGAGAGTTTAATTCAGTGTTTTCAACCCTTGTTATTTTAAACAAAATTATAATAGAGATAAATGAATTAACGTTTGATTTTTGTATCCTTTAATAATAGTAAGAGTCCTGAAACTAGGACTTAGGGGTAGTAGGAGAAATTTGTTATCTGGTTAAGATGTCTTTTTTTTTTTTTCATTTTCTAACCAAATACTGAATATATTAGGATGTAATTTCTTCTGCTGGTTATTCTAGTTTGGAAAAGATGGGAGCATGGGCTTTCCTGCAGAAGTGGAGGGAACTTTGGAAATCATTTCTCTTCATTTATAATGAGGAGCCTAGACATGGAGAGATGAAGAGATTATATAGTTAGGTGGCCAGTGTTGAAGGAGAGGTTAGAAATCCATGAGATTGTTTACTGTATTGGTATTTTTCTACTAAAAACAAACTTATGAATATTGCATAAATGCATCATTGTCTAAAATTTACTTAGTATTCTCTATATATGTAGTGGCTTTAAGTATTTTTTCTGTTTTCATCCTTCTCAAATGTAAAATATGTGACTTTCAGTAACTTTTCTCATTATGTGTGTGGATTGGGGAAGGATCAGTGGGTGACTGTGTAGTTTGAGGTAGTCCTTATTCCAAAGATTAAATGGAAAGGCCTTAAGAGCCCAGTGCCCCCTATTTTTTTTTTTTTTTTTGAGACAGAGCCTCAAGCTGTTGCTCTGGGTAGAGTAGCATCACAGCTCACAGCAGCGTCCAACTCCGGGGCTTAAGCGATTCTCTTGCCTTATCCTCCCAAGTAGCTGGGACTCCAGGCGCCCACCACAATATCCAGCTATTTTTTGGCTATAGTTGTCATTGTTGTTTGGCAGGCCAGGGCTAGATTCGAACCCGCCAGCTATGGTGTATGTGGCTGGTGCCTTAGCCGCTTGAGCTACAGATGCCAAGCCAATGCCCCCAATTTTTACGAATCTCTGTTCTATAGGATCAGGAGATTACAGATTCTAGATTATCTTAAGGTCTCACAAATAAAAAGAATTCAGTTTATAAGCTGCGTTTTTTCTTTTTTTTTGAGACAGAGTCTCATTTGGTCACCTTTGGTAGAGTGCTGTGGCTCACAGCAACCTCAAACTCTTGAGTTCAAGTGATCCTCTTGCCTCACCCCCTGCCAAGTACCTGGGACTTGAGGTGCCTGCCATAATGCCTGATTATTTTTTAGAGACGGGATCTTGCTCTGGGTCAGGCTGGTCTCGAACCTGTGAGCTCAGGCAATCCATCTGCCAAGGCCTCCCATGTGCTGGGATTAAACCCAGTCAAACTGTGGTTTTTCTTAAAGATGGTAGCTTTTTTTTTTTTTTT